TAAATATTTATTGTTGTAATAAAATAAAAACACTTTACGGATCGCAATATCTTGAAGATGCTTGCCGATTACCACATTTCTAATGACTTTACTTGACTATAAATTTGGTTCAAATTTTTTTTCTCCTCCCACCAAGGGTATATCTAAAAAATAAATAAAAAGAAGGAATGAAAAAATATAGAGAAATCTTATTATAGTTGAGAGCTTCAATGTTGCGTAAAGAATATCTTCATCGTTTTTTCAGACCACATGTCTGCCATATCATTATTATTGATTTACTTACTAACCTTTGTGAGTGATCTTTGTATAAACAAGAGACTTTTTTTTTCGATCAGCATAGGCGTCTATTTTAATTTTTTTTTTATTCCTTCCTGATTTTACTTGTTGAAAAAAAAACACGCTATGGTATATTGATTTTTCGGGCGTTTTCTGCGTCATGGTTCATATATCTGAATGAGCACTATTCCTGAGCTGTGTCCACCCATGACTCATATATCAAGTAAAAAATCGTTTGCAGCGGATGCGCATTTTATTTCTTTGCCTCAGAATCAAATAAAATAACTTCCCGTTATGTTTGGAGTCTGATTCTACTTCCTTTACCTGCCTGCACTAAACTATGAAGATTTACTTGAATATTAATTTCCTATTAAGTTACTTACCAATATTTTGGAATGCTTTTGATTAAATATATTTTATGAAACTTAGTTAACAAATTTCATTTTTAAAGTCTTAAGTATTTAAGAAAAATTTCGCTAAGCTATTCTAAACATTTTGGTTAGGTTTGAAAATTTTCAAACAATACTTAAAACCTAATTAGAGTTTTGTATTTTTCATAAAATGCATTTCAGTGAATAAAATATAATAAAAGTATATCGGCCATTCCGCGCTGGAAAGACAATTAAGTACAAAAATTATAATTTGTAGTAATTTTCATGAATATGAATAAATTATTTTTATGTATTGAAATTATTATTATGTGTTCATGAATATGAGTAAATTATTTTTATTATCAGAACATAAAAATAATTTCAGTCTACTCTTTTCTCGGTAGTGATATTTTTTACTGTTTAGATTGTCTTGTACCATTTTTTTTTTCACAATTTGAAAATTTTATCAATTACTGGATTCCAAACTCTATTTTTTGTTTCTTACTTGTTTTCTTTCTTTTTTTTTTTTTTTTTTTTTTTTTTTTTTTTTTTTTGAAGATGCTTGAAAAGTAACTATTTTTTCATTGAACATTGAAAAATGGACTTGTTTCTAGTCTTAAAATTATTGTTTTTATTCACTCGTAACAATATTTGTAGTTTTTGTAATCCTAAAAAAAAGAATGGTCCTCTTCGTAATAGATATCGCGGTCATTTTTTCGAAATTTGAAAATTTTATCGATTTCTGATTTCCAAACTCTTTTTATGGTTACAATACGTGCTTGCGTTCTTTAGGTTTTTTTTTTTTTTTTTTTTTTTTTTTTTTTTTTTTTTTTNTTTTTTTTTTTTTTTTTTTTTTTTTTTTTTTAAGACATCTGGAAAGTGAATATTTTTTCGTTGAAAAGTGGAAATTTTTTAGTCTTAAACGTCATTATGGTTTTTAGTCACTCGTAACAATATTTGTAGTATTAGTAATCCTAAAAAAAAGAGTGGTCCTCTTCGTAATAGATATCGCGGTAATTTTTTCACAATTTGAAAATTTTATCAATTACTGGCTTCCTAACTCTTTTTTGGTTACGTGCTTGTGGTTTATGTTTTTTTTAATTTTTTTTTTAAGACACTTGGAAAGTGACTATTTTTTCATTGAAAAGTGCAAATGTTTGTAGTCTTAAATGTCATTATAGTTTTTATTCACTTGTAACAATATTTGTAGTAATAGTAATCCTAAAAAAAGAGTGGTCCTCTTCGTTATAGGTATATATCGCGTCCATTTTTTCTCAATTTGAAAATTTCATCGATTAGTGGTTTCCAAACTCTTTTTATGGTTACGTGCCTGTGTTTCAATTTTTTTTTTAAGACATTCGGAAAGTGACTATTTTTTCATTGAAAAGTATATTTTATTCACTTCTAACAATATTTATAATATTTGTAATCCTAAAAAAAGAGTGGTCCTCTTCGTAACAGGTATCGAGGCAGAGACATATTGCTTGAAGAGAATTTTTCTCACAGGTTTTTGAGAATGATAACCTACATTAAACAAAAAAAAGAAACAAAAAAAGCAGGTGTTCTACTGGTCATCAAGAATGCGTCGTGATACTTACCAATGGTGTTTTATGATTAACTGCTGTTTACATCACGAAAATAAATAAATAAAAGATTAAAAGAAAGCACGCTTAGAGCATGGGAGTGTCCGATGGAATTATGAACTGACAATGATCGTGAAGAAAATAATAATACATTATCATCCACATTTTTTGGATGTATTATTTCTATATCTTTTTAATCTTTATCAAATAAATGCTTTTATATAAATAAATACATCACATTATTCTTATAAAAATTAGTATTTTTAATCAGATTTCTTTTTAATTTCATCTTACTGCATGTAATGTGTTTTAAAAACCTTTTTTTCTATTTACTGAAAGTTTACATTGAATTTTTATAAAACGAATAATAATTTATATTCGATTAAATGTTGAGTAATCGGAAAAAACAATTTGATATTTAATTTCAAATTTAATTTGTCGTTCAACTCCTCTCCGTTACCTATGACAATGAAACCGTTTGTGATTTTTTTTTTCAGTCTCGCCTTCCTCAGTAGTGATTCGAAAGATTTCGATATCTTTTTGATGCCTTCTGCTCTTAAATATTAATTTGTGATCCCTAATGTGTTATACATTCCATTCAAATTGATTGGGAAAAAAATCTAGAAATACAATAATGTTCGCAAAACTATTTTTATATTTCTATATGAATACTTATTAATTTAACACCGTTCCCACGAGCCTTAAATTTTGATATGAAAATTATAAATTTTTCTGTTATTGTATGTTGTCGAATAATTTGTCGAAATGTCTATGTTTGTACTATTTTTCTTTGTTACCTCATTTTATTAAAGCCGCTGGACGCGTTGATTGGCTTGACTAAAAATCTATTTTAATATAATGATCATAAAAGGAATAAAAACATTTTATTCAGAAATAATATCACTGTTAAAAAGTTCTTATTTTTTTTATTTTTTTAGCTATTAAAATAAATTATTATGAAATATGTACTCATTTCTTACTGTTCTATTTGAAAATGGTAAAACCAATATAAATCATATATCTGATGCTAAATTTACACTGTCGGAGTGTTCTCACTCCTTCATGATAAAATAAATAAATAAATATATAAAATTAAGGGAAAAAATCCTGGCTGAGTCCATACAAAATCCATTTGAATTTTATTTGGTATCACAAATATATTAAATCATAAAAAAACAAACATTATCAAAATCTAACGATTTAATGGTGAGAAAGGTGCGACTAAAAACATCAAAAACTGTTTGATTAGCGGAGGAAACTGAGAGCAAACAAAAGACGTTTATTAGAAACACCTCCAAGTTTCATTGAGCAATCTAGTAAAATGTAATGTTTTTAGTCCCACTTTTATCACTAGTGATTTGTAAGATTTCAATGGCTTTTTTGTTTTTTCATCTATGAAATATTGATTTGTGATGCGAAGGCTTTTATTACTACAGTTTAGACAATGATTCTAAGAATATGTTTAAGGTTAGCCTTAACGGTTGACGGAACTACCCCCCTATATCCTCACTTCACTAGTGCTTCGAGCTGCCCTTTCTTTTATCTGAAAACTAAAATATTATGTAGACCCATGGCTTGATTATGAATCTGCACAATACAGTGGAAAATAATTCTAACATTAATCATTATTTAGCTGAAATCGTCACTACAACTTGCATCCCTTACAATAAATTAAACAAAGAAAAAATTTAAATTTAATTTGTTCAATAATGTACCAATCAGGTTCGAAGCACACGCGTGACGTCGCTTGCAGGTATCCAGTTAAATCTGATTTGAAAAGTGATTCAGTGTGATAATAAACCTAAGCCTTAAAGCTGTAACATTAACACGCCACGCACATTCACGTGATTCGACACAACCATGAAATTAATAGCTAATTTTGAAATTATAAGAGCCATTGTAACTGTGAGTTTTAGATTTTGTTCTAAAAAAAAAATCTGGGTGCTGGGTCGAACTGGTCAGGTCATTTACCTGAAATGGCAGCGTCATTTGGGCTGCTACTATATGATGAGCCCTCATAGAAAATGCATCCCGGGATCTCATGACCATTTAAAAAAAAATAGCATCTAAAAGTTTTTATAGTCCAAGAACATATTTTATTATAATAAATTGTCCCGCAGTTGACTGATCGCTAAGACACGGTTCCCAGCAGATCACCGAAGTCAAACATCAGTGGCTGCGTTCAGTTTGCTAGTGGGTGACCACTTGGATCAGTCTGCATAGGGACAGAGGGTGTGCGATATTGGATCTCGTTAAACTGTTCTACCGTAAAGTGCTCGACTTCGCGTGCAGGTCGTCGCGCTACCGAAGCGGGGGTGCCATCCCCTCTGCAGAGGATCAAAATTGTGATGGCATGTCTTCAAATCATCCTCAGGCATGGTTCCCAGACCGTCGCTAATAGCCCATTGAGCAGCTCCAGTGCTATTTACACGAACTACAACAATATTATAATAAATTGCATTCTTAGCATTGTGGTTAAAATATATTTATATAAAATCTTTAAAAAAGAATCAGTTCAAGCTATAAAAATTCGCCTCTATTAAGCGTATCGATCGCTATTAATTATTTATATGTGTATCAAGCTCTAAAGAACGTCCAGAGTCGGAGTAGAAGATAGCTACTGTCGACTTCACAGCTCTGTTGACAACTCAAACACGGAGATCAGTGTATGGAACTCGACGTCCTCGGTGGTAGGTTCTTTTCAAATCAAAAACCGTTCTTTTTCTTTATACCTGTTACTTTATAATATCTGTTAACTGGGGGTAAGTAGTAACTGTAACCAAGTTGTAAATAGAGGTTGGGCAATCCGTTGATCTGGTTTTACTTTCATCCTCTCCTCAGATCGTCCTGTTTTCAAATTTTTGCGGATTTCAATTTGTTTACTCATTGATATATATAGAGAAAATTATTGTCGTGTAGGTGTTTAATTCCGCTGGTTTTAATTAAAAAAATTTCATAATTTTGTTGTGTTACATACAATTCGATATTGTTTACATTTGGAGTCGATGTTTCTTTTAAAATGAGAAAATCTTGTTGTATTGAAGATGCTAATTTTACTCCAAAAAATTCGTCATGCTCAATGGTTTTAAGAAGTGCTTGTTCACATGGTCATCATTCTCATAAGACTTTAGCTGTCAAAAATTCTGGAAATCAAGAAGTGAACTGTTTGGATAAGTAAATATTCTTTTTTTATTCACTTTTAGAAATGATTTAATATCGTTTGTTTGTAAACAATATTATGAATCCTTTACTCACGGATTATAACTCTTTCACAGAGAAGATTCATGCTCAATGGGATTTTATTTTTTTTGTTATTTCCTTTATTTACTCTCCGTTATAATTATCATATTCGACATTTCGCTTAATTCTTCAATAATTAACAATGAAATGTTTACACTGAATAAAATTGTATGTAACTTTTTTGGAGAATGCCGTAGAATTAAACTTTTGGTTACTGTGGAAAAACATCATTTACTATATTGTTTGAACTGCTTATTGTGTTCACATTTACTTTTTATTTATCATTTTACTTCTTTTTTCATTGAATGACACTAGTATCACTATCACTTCTCTATTCTATCTCTTGTTCCATCTTTTAACATTTTACTTAAAAATATGTAATGATTCTTATAAGTTATCTTTCAATCCATTAAATAAAAATAGTGTATTGTGGTTTGAGGAAGACTATCCTATAAATACCTGCACCAGAATGGTCAATGGCAATAATGCGACAACTGAAAATGGCATGTCATAAAATTATTAATATCTGGGTGATATTTCTAGCCAAGGTGCCATTAGGCTTTTTAACTTGCAATTTTTTGAAAAATATATGTGTATTGATGTGTTCATGGTAGATATGAGTTTTTTCCTTTGAGTTATATCCCTTCTGAGATATTTTTTCTTTAAGTTTTTTGTGTACCATTGCCTGGTTAGCACAGAAGTTTGTCGGGTTTTTTTTTTTTTTGAACCTCTTATATCGATTTAGAAATCTTCCCTATATCAGCCTCAATATTATTACCGCATCTGAGCGTATTAAATATATATATATCTTTAAATTTATTCAGTCAAATATAAGCATCCATAGCAGTAACACTTTGTCAATTGATATTTTAATATTAATTAAGATACCTTGGTCGACTCGATCTATGTTGCTAGGCTGTTTGCTAATTACCTGATTTAAACACTATTGAGTAATTTTACCATGTTTTCCTTTGTAAATTGTGAAGCCTTCAGGCCGAATTGAACATTAGTCACAGATTGTGTTCTAATTTCACGCTTTAAAAAATTCTTGCCATTTGTTTTTATGGAATTCACAGGATTTTTCAATCACACATGAAATTAAAGTATTAAAAGTTTCCGGTTTTACGAGATTAAAAAAAAATTTGTTTATTACAGAATCAAGCAAATTATATTTTATTATTTGATGGATATATCAGAGTTCTCCCTAGGAATTTAAAAGGGCAGGGAGCTTCCTCATAGAAAAAGGCAATTTGATTTTTAATACTGTTAAAATTTATCAAAATGTGTAATGAATAATTTTTTAATTGCCCTTGTATACTATTTTATGTATTTGTAAGTAATTCTCACTCATTATCAAAATAAAAGAAAAATTTGTAGTTTGTAAGAAAAGGCATGCTAAAAGACAATCACTGTGCACAATATTTTTTTAAAAAAAGGTATATATAAAAGAAAAAAATTATTAATTGATGAACATCTTCAAAACTTTTTTCTATAATTTAAACTGAAAATTATGAAAAAAAAGGAATTACAGGTGCATTAAAAAGTGGTATTTATTTAAAACATAATTTAAAAATTTAAAATCACTTACAAATTCATTAATATCAAATTCATTAATCTTCTCATAATCTGTAAAATTAATTAATCTCCGCAAAAAAAAAAAAAAAAAAAAAAAAAAAAAAAAAANAATCAGATGAGAATAATCCTAATAAAATTAAACCTATAGATATAAATAATTTTATCAGTGTGTAATTATTATATTAGTTAAACAGTGAATTAATTTCTTTAAAAATGGAATATGAATAAAAGGGCAATGTTTTTAAGGGATGGCGGCTTATTTTTACCACATAAGTGCATCAAAAGGCTAACTGGGCTGCCATTCGAAAAATGCTTAGGGAGAATACTGGTTCTATTTTATGCTGCAGAATATGTTTGCTAAATTATTATCTATTTTATCCATAATGTAGTTTAATAAGTTGATAAATTTTTTAATTATAGTTGATAAAAAAAAAATTTCTCTTGTCACAACAGTAACCCAGTAGATACTTTTACTAATTTTAAAAAAATTATGTCTACTGCTTTAAAAAACATCAATTTATAACTCAGCCACTCGTTACTTTATAGTTTTCAACTAATAATTTCCGGATTGACATTTCTATAACAGTTTAAATGTTTGTATTGGGGTCGTGTAATCCTTAAAGGGAATACGAGGATACCATCTTCGTAACTGTAAAGTGAAGACAGGCGATAGTTTTACTGTATAGTCATTTTAATCATCGAACAGTTTTTAAAAGTGGCAAAATTTACATTTTATTAAACACAGTACATTTTTTCTCTATATTTATATTAACTTTCTTAAATTGTCTATCTTTTATTTTCTCACCTTTCATTGTTACTATTTAACTCATAGGCAGTTTAGCAAAGTTGGGAGAATGTTTCTCCTTAATGCCCTATTTCCCTATCTAATAACTTAGAAAAACTGAATATGCTATGCGGAGAAAAGTGCAGGTTAAAATACTACTTTTTTATGTGCAGAACCGTCAGTGGGTTAAGATAATTGAGTTATAATCTTCTGACTATCTACACAATAAATAAATGAACTCAAAAGTAAAAAAAATAAATCATATATCTGATAGGTATATTTTATTCCTGTTTTTTAAAGTAAAGGTGTTTGATAAGATGGCTTTTTTTTTTCTCTTTAAAATTCCGTACAATTTTATTGTTATAAAATAATGTTTTTTGTAGTTTTATTATGCATTTTAATAAATAAATGATTTTTTATTTTGAGCTGAGATTACTGTATTTATTTGCTAAATTTTGTAATTTTTCTCCTTTCAGCCAACAATAGTGACTTGTAATAAATACTTTTTCCAATATTGATGTTCAGGTGCTATAAAAAATCAATTTAGTCGAGGTAATTTTTTTTATTAAAATATATTGATTAAAAATTATTTTTATGCCATGCAATTTTTTTTCTTTATTATCGAATTATGAATTTAATTTTATGGAGCTATTGTAAATTAAGTTATGGTTCTTATGTTCTCTCATTTATTCATCATTACATGGTCAATTAATAATTATTGTTTATTTCATAGGCCAATGTTTATTTCAGCATGGTTTCATTCATTGCTTTTTTCATTTGATATTCAAATTGGGCAACTGATGTCATGCTTCTCAGTTGATTTTGAGCTTAATGGCATAAGCTTGAATCAGCTAGAATATTCAATATAAAGAATAAAATGATATTATTCATTGGAAAAGTATAATGGAAGCAATTAAATGCAATTAAAACTATAGATAACATGATTCAGGTGGTCTTTTTTTTCTTTCAAATGAAGATGAATGCTGAAAACTTGAAATTTCTTATTGTTTGTCTTAATCAGGTTCAAATGGCAGTCTTTTAAGATTTACAATTTCTTTTATTCTTTATTACCAGTTTGTATCATGTGTTGGCCTCATTGATGGACATTCTACTGCCTAGATGCCATAAAGTGTTTAATACTATAGCCTTGAATCTAAAAGTTCATAAAAAATAATTTAATATTTTATAGGAATAAAATGAAACAAAGTAAATTTAAAAGGAATAGCAATTAAAACAAAATTACAAAATCGTTATTTTTTTCTTCTTTTTTCTTTTTTGTAACTGTTGGACTGAGCTTCTTCAATTGAAATTTCGACCACTCTTTAACTAGCCAAAGCACGTAAATCTGTTATGGAGTACTCTGATTGATAACATTATGAGTTTAAACTATTTCCTGACTGTTGCGAGTAGAAAATGTCATCAAACAGAATTTTGATCTCTTTTGGAAGTAAACAAACTGACATAAAACTAATAAAATAAAATTTTAATGAACAGTTTTATTGCAGCTGACAAAAAACCAAATATAATTTTATTTTTGTCAGTTTTGAAGCAAACTTTTGTTGAAAATTTCTTCACTCTCTTCCCATCTTTCGAAACTTATGTGCCCCATGTTTTTCAGATCAGCCAAATTAAAATCTTTTTTAGTCTACTTGAAGAAAAGTGTAGTTTTTTTTTTAAAATTTATTTTATGGAGTATGGTACCTAAAAAAAGAAATTTTTAAATAATTAGGCTGAACCTAACTTTATTAAATAAAAACTTTCTCTCAATAGATATTTAAGCTAATTTAATGAAGGTTGTAGATAGTTTATTTAAGTAATAAAAGTGTAATGATAATTTTTAAATTATTGAGGAAGTAGTTATAAAAATTTTTGTTTTATCATTCGAGTTTTTGCCATCATTATCAAAGAATAATGATTATTGAAANTTTATTAAATAAAAGCTTTCTCTCAATAGATATTTAATCTAATTTAATGAAGGTTGTAGATAGTTTATTTAAGTAATAAAAGTGTAATGATAATTTTTAAATTATTGAAGAAGTAGTTATAAAAATTTTTGTTTTATCATTCGAGTTTTTGCCATCATTATCAAAGAATAATGATTATTGAAAAATGGTTTTATAAAATTGTTTTGAGACAATGAGTAATATTATTGTTTAGTGAAAGTTTTAAATATCTGTGATAAGTTTTCAAAGTCTTGCTGTCAAGAGAAGTGAAAGATGCAAAAATAACTGTAAGAGGTTAAATTTTCTACCTATTTAAATTTGTAATCAAAATTATTCACTCCTTTTCTCACAATTTCTATTAAACTAATCCCCAAATGTAACAGTTAAACATCTTCCAATGTTTTTAAAGATTTAAAATGCATGGAAAAAAAGTTAATACTACTTGTCCTGCTCCAGGAATTGGAGTTGTCTGATTTCCTAATTGTTTATTTTTCCTATGAGTCCCTATATTTAAAAAAAAAAAAAAGCAATATTTTGCCTTATTTCTTTTTCTTAATATAAAGTTTCAATATCAGAATTTTTGGTACTTCCATGAAATGCTGCATAGCAAAAATTTACAAGTTTCCTAAATCGAGAAGTAAAAAAAAAAAAAGAAACAGAAGAAAAAAATTCTACAACAATGTTGTTTTTATTGAGATAAAACTCGTTCTCATAAATAAGGAACGGATTCGATTCTTAAGAGTGGATTTTTAAATAGGTGTCTTCATTAAAAAAAACTTACTTTTCTTGTTAGGCTCTGGTTGGTTTCAATGAATGATTAATTTAATTTACCCACTAATATATTGAAAATTGCTTATTTTAATTAGAGTAATAATGATTTTTTTTAATCTACTTATTTAATGTGCCAATAGCTTATCTTGCTTGTGTTCAATATTTAAGATATTGAATTGATTACTTTTTTCCATTAAAAGCATGCTATAAGTGATATAAAGACAGAAATTTTCTTTCAAACTTTGTTAAAATATAATAAATTAAAAATATTTTTTTATTATTTTTTATTATTAAGTTAAATAGGGCTAATTAACGTAATTTCGAAAATTGTCTATTCATATTTGTTAAGCTTGGGTAAGTTGATTCTCTGCCAGTCACTTAAAAGTTTGTCCTGTGTTTAAAAAAAAAAAATCCTGTAATTTTTATCGCCTTCGCTTCTGAGACTGCCTGCTATCTAAGATCTTTATGACAGTCAACGTTCTTGCAACTTTATTTAAGTTACAGGTGGAGAAGTTTGGTCTTTCCACCTGTCGGGAAATTTATTGATTCCAATAAATGTACGTATTTGTGTAAGATTACTCGGCAAAGCCGAATTTAAAAAGAAAAAATAAATTATAATAATCATTCGGCAAATTGGCACTACTTGGTAAAAAAAAATACTCGTGGTAAAAAAAAAAAATAAATAAATAAAGCGTAAATTTCAATTTCTAACTTAATTGTTACTTTTAGGACTTCCCTTGGATTCTATGTCTCAAATACTGTTGATAATGAATTTTTAAATTATCGCAGTTACCACAGCTGTTTAAGTTTTATTAAAAAAAAAAAAAATAAAGATTTAGTTCAAGATAAAATTTATGTGAAGCTTTCTATTTTATTTTTCCATTGGTTATAAATTTTGAATCCTACTTTTCGATGGTCGAGATAAAAGGTAATAATGTTTTTTTTCCTTCTTTTTTTTAAATAGATTTTTACTTATAAACTAATGATTAATATTTAGCGACATGCCTTTATCTGTCGAATTAATGTTTTTGTTCTTAGTATAGTCTTAATTCCTAAAAAAGTAAATTGTAACAAGTAAATTTTTTTTGTGTGCTTAGTATATTTATTGGATTTGCTGGTGCCCTTGGTATAGAACTTTTTGGGGTAGTCTACTTATTTTTTCTTTATCTTAAAAAAAGTTGTCGTCACCATCGCTATTTTAGAACACGCTTCTTACTCTTGTAACGCTTTAACTATTAGATTGAAATAATAATAATTGAGTTTCACGCATTTTTAGAGAATGTTCCGTTCAAGGGATATTCTGATATAAAAATACCATCGATTGCGGACATCGGTTAAGCTTAATGTCAAATTTCATTAATTTTCTGAGCTGCGTAATTTAATTTAGTGGAAATAATTAGAAAAGTTGTGTTTTTTTCTTTTTTTTATTCGCGATCTGAAGTAGTTTTTTTTAAATGGTTTTTTGACGTAAAAGAAGGTATGAAGGTTAATTGTTGTAAATTTTTTTTCAGCCATCTACTACCTAGCTATGTCCAAAGGAGAGAAAAATATCTTTGCTTTAACGCTCGAATTACTGTTTTTATTTTATTTTATAACCGTTGTTGTACAGTCAACCCAATTTTTTTGGGTTTACGACTACTAATGTTCAGCGCTGTAACCTTGTAATTTTGAACTCAATGCAGAAGACAAGGAACTCCTGGATTTGTTGGGGGAAATTTGCCTTCGTGGAGGACTTTATTGATGGAACTAACCAGGGCCGAGGCGGCCCTGAACTAACCCGCGTTTGCGTTACATAGAGAGGAAAACCTCCCATGCAGTCCATGCACCACTAAGGATATTTTACATCAGCATTGTGGTCGGTGAAAGCCGAATGCAGAAATCGTATCGACCAGCCATCGCTGGGATTCGAACCCGGTTCACCTCATTGGAAGGCGAAGGCTCTATCCCCTGAGCCATTTGAATTACCGTTTCTAAATTATCTGGAGAAAAAAAAACTGCATAAGTTTTTTGAATTATAACTTATACGAGAGCTTTTATCGAAATTCCTATCCGTTATACGTGTTTTTGTAGAGAAATTTATCTAGCAATTTTTATTATTTTATAAACTCGCGCTAGAGTTGATGTCAAAAGTAACAAAGAAAAATGAATCTGAATAAGCGAAAGGTTATATATTGCCATTTATAAACTTAACATTTTTATCGAAACTTTTAAAAATATAAAGAGAGATAAAAACTGTTTCCAGTGCGAATTGCTATGATATAATGTTATGGTTATATATTGGTAACAAGTAAAATTATATTCGCATATTCTGTATTTTTTTCTATATTTTTTTATTAATTTTTTTTCTAGTTCATTAGATTATTTTTCAAATCCATATGTTCTTTTATTTCATTACGGTTAACATATTAATGAAAATTTCCTTCATAAAATTATGCTATTTGTGCATTTTCTTAACAAAATTATCTTTCTTATTTACTTTTAAGAAGATTAGAAGGGGGGGGGGTATGTCTATCAAGCTAATTCTGGGAAGAAATGTACGAATTTGCACACGGACAAGAATTGTTTTTCTACAACGCAGTCTTGAGTGTTAACTCTGGGGGGTTGGGGGTATCGCTAACCCCCCGGATTTTCCATGTTATTAATTTACAAAAAATGGAAATAAACTATTTTTTCAACTTGATCTTCAGTGATTGAGAAGCAACCACGAGGTTTGGTGAGCGAAGCGAGCAGGTAGCAAAGCCTACTAGATATGAAAAATTTTTTTTTTTTTTTTAAGTAAGATAAATTTTGAAATGAATAGTGATTGTGATTTAAATATCTGATCATAAATATAGTTCA